GGTGTAGCCAGAAAGGAACGAGAAATACTGCCTCGGAGACCGTTTTGTTGGCGTATTTTGGCGAATTATCTAAGGAAAAGAAGCCTTCGACTTTATGGTCGACTTACAGTATGTTGAAAACCATGATTAAATTGAAAGAGAAAGTTGATATCTCCAATTACGCAAAACTTATAGCTTTTTTGAAGCGGCAAAATCTGGGCTTTCAGCCGAAAAAGTCGAGCGTTTTTTCCAGAGAAAACATTAACGAGTTCCTCACGAAGGCAGCTGAAGAATTCATTAGCATCAAGGTAGGTTTTCAAAAAATATACAAAGAAGATAAAAATGCGAAAATCAAAATGATTTTCTGTATGCTATAGCTAGGTTACCCATTTTATTTTTATCTGGTTTCAGGTAGCGCTAATTGTTGGTGTGTCGGGTGCATGTAGGAGCGATGAACTAGTCAAGATGAAAATGGAGCACGTCAACGTTTTGGAAGGAAAGATCGCTATAGAAATTCCACACACAAAAACTTACACAAGTCGATCGTTTATCATAAGCGATCCAGATTGGGTTGCTATTTTCCACAAATACCTCACTTTGCGGAAAAATTTGAAAAATGACAGGTTATTTGTTCAATGGCGAAATGGGAAATTACATAACCAAGCAATTGGCTATCATTCAATCTCAAAATTTCCACATAAAATAGCTGCTTTTTTGAAGCTTCCAAAAATTGAAACTTTTACAGGGCATGCTTTTCGTCGTACTTCCGCAACCTTATTGGTTGACAACGGGGCCGATCTATTGCAACTCAAAAGACTGGGAGGGTGGAAATCGAGCACGGTTGCTGAAGGCTACATAGAGGCATCTTTGGAGAACAAAAGTAAGACTGCTCTGATGCTATCCTCTACTTCCAAAGGTATTCAGTTGTCCAGTGCATCCACAAGTACATCACATGCGGAAACTCATCCGCAAGCGCAAGAGATAATAGTTCCAAACGAAACACAATTCCAACAGGATGGTCTCAAGATTTCCATTATAAACAACAATGCTAATTTAACAATTAATGTAAATAAGTGAATAGATTTAATTAGTTCCATGTAATACATGTGGTTTTATTATTATATGTGAGAGCTGTATGAAAATTATCAATTTGGAACGAGCAGGGAAATGGGGACGGAAAAGCATTTGCCGTCCCGGACGGAAAATGCTTTTCCGTCCTAGGCAGGCATATGCATTACCGTCCCGATAAATGTCAAAGTCCAGAAATGTGACACTTTCAAGATTTTGAAAAACCTGCAATGTCAACATTACATATGTGGTTGAAAATAAAATAATAAACAAGTTGGTGACATTTTTTTTTTTGCTATATGGGCATGTGTAATATTTTGAAATAGGAAAAAATCAGGCAACATTGCGAAATGATGGAAGTGGAGAGGCGTGATTATTCAGAAACAAGATTCTATTGGTTAGAGCCTGAATGACAGCACGCAGTGGCGTGGTTATTGGCGAAACTAGAGAATCTTTTTTCTAATAATTTTATTGGTTTATTTCCTTGGTGTTTTCGGTGCCACTGAACTCAAAGACATGGCTGTCATCAGACGGTGTCAGTTGAGGTGTCAGTAAATATTTTTAGGTAACGCCCCAGTTTTCTTCCCCCTTTCGTCTCTACCAAGTTACCACTTGCCAGACTATATGTCCCATTTTGGTTGTCCATAAGGGATAACTCGGTTGCTATTGGAGTTAGAAGGATGTAGTTTCCACGAACGCTGTTTTAGAAATATTGACAGTTGAAAATTGACTTTTTGCAACTTTGACAGGCTATAAAACTTTAACAGTTAATTTTAGAGGAAAATTGATTTTACATTCCTATATATCTTAGATTTTCATAAACTATCATTTGACACCAACTTTGAATTTAACCGGAGATTAAATTTAATTGGAATTTTTAATCATGGATTAAATTGTTGGTGTCACAGTCACTGTCAAACGATAGTTTATAAAAATCTAAGATAGGAATGTAAAATCAGTTTTCGTCTAAGATTAAACGTTTAGGTTTTACAGCCTGTCAAAGTTGCAAAAAGTCAATTTTCAACTGTCAATATTTCCAAAACAGTTGAACTTAGGTATAGGGTATGTTACATGAAATCTGCTCAGAATTTTACGTAGAATCCAAATATGCAATAACATACAGGGTGTTGCATTAAAAATAACAAGGTTCTGTTGCATAGCCCATTAACGGAGCACCCTGTATATTCAAAAATATTTTTAACTAATGCATATTAGAGTATCAAATAACTTTGTGATTTAATTTTTTTTTCTTGCATCACCCTGTAAGGAGATATCGTCCGATATCGCACTAAGTGGACACATACGGGTGATTCTCAGATGACGCTCGTCCCTGTATTTTTTTTATTTTTTAAGATTTTCATCGCATATTTTGGTAGAATGTATAAGTCACTGGTGTGCATTGTTTCACATATTAAGTACCTTTCTGATACTTCCAGTTTCACCGGAAACGACCCCAACTTTGAAATTTTAAATGGAACACCCAGTATATTTTTAGATATTTGAATTCGCCATTTGATTCTAAATATGAAAATGTATATCGATATAATTTTTTGACATTTCTGAAACCGAAATTACCAATTCGCACTTTTCATCTAGCGTGCCATGAGTGACATAAATTGGTAGGTTTTGTACCCAAATAACTGTTAAAATTATTATTTATTTTAATTATTGGAAAATGCAACTTCTACAGCCATTTGAAATTTTCGAATGCGTAAAAGTTGATTTTTTCTTATGGAAAGGGTAGTGGCTCACGGAATCCACTAAACAACTTTTTTCCGACTAATAGATTGATACTACACAATAATATTTCCTTTCATTTTAAACTTCTGCTAGATTGCTTAACTTTGAAAATACCCTCGTAAAACAAGTTAATCACCTGAAATAATGTTGAATGATAACCACCTTTTATTAGAAATTTGACATATCCAATTTGACACAAAAAATAAGGCAAAAATACACTAAAACGGTGTTTACACTAGATGCAATGCAATTTTAAAAATGGCATGCAGTCGGCTGCACATGCAATTTTATGCCTTCTTGATCCGATTAATCGGATCACCAGCAGATGTACTTTGTCTTCATTTTTGGATTTTGCAAATTAATATTAATTTTTGCAACAAACCAAACCAAACCAACCCACAGGTGGAGGAAGTAAACACAAATTTGACGAGAATGGCACGCAACGTGCAATAAAATTAGCGCAAGTTCTAATTCCATGCAATGCAATGAAATTGCATCAGCTTATCGAAAAAGAACAAAGTTCGAATGCCTTCAGGCAAGAAATTATTGCATTGCACGAGATTGCATGTAGTGTAAACAGGCTTTAATACACACTGAAATTTGTGAAACGACTCTCATCAGAGTACAGTATTTGGGATAGAAATCTGTTATTTTCTCTGTACTTTTGTAAATACCAGTTGCAATATTCAAGGCGTCGATCATAATCAGTTGGATACAAGTGCTGATGTAGCGGGTATTTGAATAACTTGAATTTTTGTTTATTGAGAATTCTCCATACTGAAGCCTGACTTATGTCGCATTCTGCAGCGATTTCCCTCGTTGAAGCTACCCTATTTACAGCAACCATATCCAACACATCAACTGCCTTTTCCTCATTTGAAACGAATGGTCCGTTTACGTTATTTGATTCAGTCCTCATGATTTCTATCAATCTGGGAAAATAATGTCGACTTGGGTGGCGACGATTTGGATATTTCGCAGCGTATGCGCGAGCTGCGTGTGTCGCAATCTGCGTGCACTCACCGAATACTAAAATCATGTCAATCTTTTCGCTGCGTGTGAAATTCATAATTATTTCTCTTTCACAGAAAAAAAAAGCGCTTGAATACGAAATTAGTCTAACAACTTGTGTCAAATGTCCAATAAAAGAAGGTGCTTAACGTCATTTAAGGTAATCAACTTGTATCACGAGGGTGATTTCAAAGATTTTATTCCAATAAATTAAAGTTAAGAATCTAGCAGAAGTTTAACATGAAAGGAGACATTATTGTATAGTATCAATCTATTAGTCGGAAAAAAGTTGTTTAGTTGATTCCGTGAGCCACTACCCTTTCCATAAGAAAAAATCAACTTTTACGCATTTGAAAATTTCAAATGGCTGTAGAAGTTGCATTTTGCAATAATAAAATAAATAATAATTTTAACACTTATTTGGGTACAAAACCTACCAATTAATGTCACTCATGGCACGCTAGATGAAAAGTGCGAATTGGTAATTTCGGTTTCAGAAATGTCAAAAAATTATATTGATATACATTTACATATTTAGAATAAAGAGGCGAATTTGAATATCTAAAAATATACTGGGTGTTCCATTTAAAATTTGAAAGTTAGGGTCGTTTCCAGAGAAACCGGAAGTATCAGAAAGGTACTTATTATGCGAAACAATGCACACCAATGACTTATACCTTCTACCAAAATATGAGATGAAAATCTTAAAAAATAAAAAAGTTACAGGGACGAGCGTCATCTTTGAGAATCACCCGGTATATTGTGATATATGGCAATATAGTGAATTGGGCAAATTGGCCTGTTGGGAACCGGAACCAGGAATACGTGTGGGCGCTTCCATCACTTTGGGTTAGTCTGTGAGAAATGACAAATGGTTCAGCGATCTTTATAGTATGGCTTCTTATGTTCTTTAAGCGGAGGAACGATTATTTCATAACTCAACAACAAATATTACCCAAAAAAATATACTGCGAACATAAAAAGAACAATACATAAGTTCTATATCCCAGCTGAATCCTTTTAAAAAATAGTTTGTTAAAAATAAGGGAAAATCCTGGTGTATTCAAGTTGCAGTATTCAGTCATAGAAATAGCTTTTTTCTTTGTGTTAAACTACTTACTGATGGCGGTATTAAAATCATATTTACGAAAATCATTTTTATTATTACATAATGTTATCCACATTTTTTATTTAATTTCCAGACGTGGCAAACCTCTCTACCTAAGCCAGGACCGATTCCAACTGTTGGAACAACAATGGCTTGCCCACCGTTTCGACCACACGAAAAAGACTTGGGTCCAGCACCGCAACGCCCTCTAGAACACCAAATAACCTTATAGATTACTTCCATCTGACGGTTCCGTTTATATCGTTGTTTGGAAGAATAACCGTTTGACAGAATCTTATTAATTTTTAATTTGACTGTGATAAGACGAGACGGAGAGAGGGAAATATAATTAATAAAACAATACTTTCTTTTTTATATTTTTGCTATACATAGGTACTTTATTTAGTTTGTTAGTGATACTGTTTATTTATATGGTTTTGCTCCAGAAAGGAATACAAGTTTTTTGGAATATGACGGCTTTGTTCCAATAACAGAGGAAATTGTTGTCTACAACAGACAATTACTGAACATGGTAGGTGACAATCATTTATAATGGCATTCGCATTTCCTTCAATATCACAAAAAAACTGAATATTATTATTGTTACTTTGAAGATAGTGGACCGCTCAGCCTTTATTAAAGAAATTTCTCTCTTGTTGGAACAAATCTAATAACATTTTCAGCAAATCTAATTTCTGGTTCTTGTCGGATCGCACGTTTATTATTGAGGAGTTTGAAGTTCTAACAAAACCGAAAATAGTTTATTTAGATTTTATTAATTAAATTTTTCGTTCTTTGTATTTAATCTTCAGTTAATAAAAATTATTATGGGTAGGTATTAGAAACGCTTAAATGAAAAAAGTGGTTCTCTGATAATTTAAATTGGATTATAGTTTACATACAAGTTTTTTTTTTCTTCCTGAAAACAGGGTAACCCTATGAAGGCATTCTTCAATAGTTGTTGGAAGAATATTTAAAAGTTAAGCCAAACTGTTCACTTTCTACTATAACATAGATAGGTTTTTCTTTTTTTTTTTTGTTTGTTTATTCTAGTCCCATTTTGTTTAAGTCCCAAAGTTAGGGCCTGTATGATGGTATATTTTGTTTGCTTAGCTTTTTTTTCACAATTCCTTTTCTTGTCAGAATCGTTTGAAAAAATATATTTTTCTGTAGTTTGTAAATAAATATTTGATGGTATGTATTTGAAATATGGTTCAGTTTATTTTGTGATAATCTTTATTTTATTTAAAATTTAGTTCTAATTTTATATTTACCACTTTATAGCAGAAACAATGCTTAATTTTCACTTGCATTTGTTTTTATAGAACAGCATTTGAAATAAATAAAAAATTTAAAATACAAAATTACAGAAAAAAAAATCTTTAGGTTAAAAACGTTTGGTCTTGAAAATTAAAATAAGGTTGGGTGTATTAACAAAGACAAAATCACACCTAATGTATATGATAAACGATTAATTATTAGTATTTAACGTCCAGGTTGTTTAAAATTTAAAAAAAAAAAATAATAATAATAATAAGATTGTAATTAAAATTTTGTAGACAGAGTTACACTTATGTTAAAAATACAGGATTTTGAAAATTTATTGTTTTTTTTTTTTTTTTTTTCAATTTGCATATTTAGAGTGGAAGCCGACAAGTCTGAAGGCACTGAAGAACTATTTGGCTACCCATGCGATGGCTGCAAGACGATTTCATGCAAAAAATGGGATGCGACTGAGGTAAGGTTCATCCAAAAGGTATCAAGAAAAATTACTTACTTCCGCTCGGAGTCAGTGCCATCTTTATGCATGCGCCAGCTGCCTCTATCATAGGGGGCCCCGTCGTTAATTTTTTTAAAAAAGTATTCAAATAATAAATGATAATATCAATAAAAGCAAATGAAATATTATTCAAATAATAGTTATTTGTTTTACTAGGCAGAAAAGTACAAGATTTAATGCCGCGGCTGGTGTTTCATAGCCGAGGCTAGAAAACCAGCTGAGACATTAAATCTGCTTTTCTGACAAGTAAAACATATAATTTTTTCTCCGAATGTCACACATGGACATCTTTTTTATATTTATTTAATTCATTATTATTATCCAAATAATTAAATAATTTTGACAAATGTCATTGTCACCATCAATTTCAAATACCAAATTGAGTGAAATTATCACCTGAAACGTTGTGACACTGTGGGCCATATTCTCCGTAGTTCATGAAGCCTGGCTTAGTGGAAAAGCTCGGCTTTGTTACGCAAAAAGCCAAGCGTTTCCACTAAGCCAGGCTTTATGAACTACGGAGAATATGGCCCTGTTACTTTTAATGCCTAGGCAGTAAAAATACAACTTTTGATCCTGTCAAGTGTCATTAAAAAGCCGCTTATACTGTCATCAACGATGCCGCTTATACCAGAAAGTAATATGAACGTTGATATTTTAAATGAGACACCCTGTATATTATTGCATTTTTCTCTCCGCTATTACTTTCTGATCATTTTTGTATAATAGTGTCCTATACCTCTAGTGATTTTCGACTTATTAATTAGTTTCTTTATTTTTTCTTCAAAAAATAGCTCTAGTTAAATTTGTATTACTACATCCCTGAGATTCGTAGAAAGTTTAAATTTTGGAGATAACTTAGGGAGGCCTTGCATATTACTGTTGAGCAAGAAAATTTGTTCTAAATTATACAGGGTTGGTCAAAATTAGTAATTGTGCTGCCAGGTACAAAAATAATGAAAAGTGCACTTTTTTAAATAGAACACCTTGTATATTATGAAAAATTATAAAAGGCAATTAAAATCCCTCACAAATGATGTATCATGTTCCTATACCTAAATAGTAAGGTTTCGGAAATACAGGCTAGTTTCTGTTAAAATTGGATTATTTAAAAATTATGTTTTATTAAATAGCTATTTATGTAACAAGTGTGTGAAGTAAACTTTTTTTCACGAATGTGACGTGCGACAATCACATGAGTAAAAAAAGATACTTTACACACTTAATGCATACTACATTTTTTCTACTATCAATAAAATATATGTGAAAAATAAATTTAGACAAATAAGTACTTTACGCACTAGTGCGTAAACTAATTTACCAGAAAAATACTAAATTGACAGTGTCGACATCTGCCATTGACATTATTTTACGCACTAGTGTGAGAAGTGAAATTTAACGTCTTCAGCTCGGTCTTTAGAATAGTGCATAAAGTGAGTACTTCACGCACGGTAGTAGAAAAAATACATATTGTCACACCCTATTTTGTTGCAACTGGAAGTTTGGGATCTTTTGTTCCTTGACCGCGTGTGGATTTTAATTAGCCCAAAAGTGTCGATTTCTCCTATTAGAAATACCTTCTCTAGAAAACGTAGCTTCGTCGGTCCATATTTTTTTTTTTAGAAATTTTGAATCCTCATGAGACAGATGTCAGTTTTTAAATTATAAGCTGACACACTTACACAAATATCAGCATTGATAATTATTGAAACAATAATGTTATTTATTAAATTATTTCGGTTTAAACTTAATTTTCTTGTCAAGTTACTATAGAATGGTTACTTTTTGCTTAAAAATTTCATAGTAGATACATCAAACGTACAAATTATTGTTAAAAGTTATCGATTTTATTGCCTTCAGAATCAGGGACATTATTTCAGAATTATTTTTTTTTTATTTTTAAAAAAATAAGTTTTATTTGTACTTAAGAGTACCTAACCTATATTAAGGAACAGTTACTCAACTTGTTTTTAATACCAGGTGTTGCAAAAGAAATTTTGTCAAATATTGGTGTTAAAATTTACATAACAGACGTTCCTTCTATCTCGTAGAAAAAATAGTGTTCCTAACTCGTGCGGAAAGTCTCCTTTCCGCACTAGTTAGGAAATATACTATTTCCAAATTGATTTAAAAAAAAAAGATTGGGTAACTATGAAGTAAGTTTATTTGAAATAAAATATATCAAACGTAACCATAACAGTAAGCTTAACAGCCTAAATAGGTTTTCACAGTAACTTTTTTTTCGGGTTTGGTCTAGGGTTGCCAGATTTTCAAAATTGAAAAGCGGGAGGTAGTGAATGAAAGAGGAAAAATAATGTTTCGCCGCAGGCGGAAATTTTTGAGGTGTTACGCCCTAATTTTGTCACATCTTATCATATTGTTACGGCTTTGGGTTGCCTGCTGACAAAAATCTTGGGTTCGTCGTTCGTTTCGTTTATTCCAAAAATCAAAGTCCAATTAACGCAGCAATAATTTATTCCACTTAACAAAACACTCTGACACTAATTACTTTACTAACTCAACAATTAAACTCTTTACAATCACTATTTAAATCATATCACAGTCGAACTGAAACTTACTTACAAACCAATGCCGGCCTTCTTATATATCCCTAAATCTATTCCTGTGAAATCTAGAATACACACGATAATCTAATTTTCCAGATTAAAGTAGAATAATTCGCTAGATTCTAGTATTTCCGCGATCGATTCTTGACAGCCTGGCGGAAGTTTAGCTTATTGTGAAACTGCCCTCCTCTTAAGGTTGATCGTCCCGATCAACTTCACGCCCATGATATTTCGCCAACCTGTCCAGATGTACAACTTTCATCTTACTCCTGGTGTTGCGCTGGACTCGATAAACCAAATCATTGATCCTCTTGATTACTCTATAGGGTCCTTCCCATGCTGAAGACAATTTCGGTGATACTCCTTTCTTCCTTACTGGGTTATACAACCACACTAAATCACCTTCTTGAAATCCGACCGAATTGGCCTTCAAGTCGTATCTGGTCTTCATTCGGTCACTGGCTAGTTGAATATGCTCCCGAGCAAAATCATGGATACCCAGAATTCGTGCCCTTACTTCGTCGGCATAATCTCGGATTTCTCTTCGTTCTTCTTCGGGTACTCCAAACATCAGATCGCAAGGTAGCCTGAGTTCCCTTCCAAAAACAATTCTAGCCGGACTTTCACCTGTTGAATCGTGAAGAGCCGCTCTGTAAGCCATTAAAAAGAGAGGCAAATGCTTGTCCCAATCTCGTTGGTTCTTTGCGACCACTTTTGTCAGGTGTTCCTCTATGGTCTTATTGAATCGTTCTACCATGCCATCAGACTGAGGGTGTAAAGGTGTTGTCCTTGTCTTACGAATGCCCATGATCTCAAAAAACTTTCTTAAAGATGGCAGATTCGAAGTTTCGTCCTTGGTCTGAATGTAACTCTAGTGGCACACCATGACGACTAAAAACTTCGTCCACTAGCACCTGGGCAACAGTGATGGCTTCTTGATTGGGAATAGCGAAAACTTCTGGCCATTTACTGAAGTAATCCATGATAACTAAGATGTATTTGTTACCACGCTCTGACTCTGGGAACGGTCCTGCTACATCTATCGCTATTCTCTCAAATGGAAAACCAACGTTATACTGTTTCATGGGCCCCCGAGATCTTAGTTTAGGGCCTTTACTGGTAGCACAGATGTCGCATTTTCGGCACCAGCTTTTAACGTCTTCATGGTAGTGAACCCAGTAAAAACGTTCCCGAATTTTGTCCAAAGTCTTGTTAACTCCGAAATGTGCCCCTGAGGTTCCGTCGTGTATTTCTTTTAATACATCTTCCACTCGGTCTTTTGGGATAACCAGTTGGCTCTTAGTGGATTTCCCATCGGCACTTTCCCAAACTCTTTTGAGCAAACCATTTTCTACAGCCAGAGAGTTCCATTCGGCCCACAACGCTTTGTAAATCAAGCTCTTGTTTGACACTTCCGTCCATTCTGGCCTACATTCATCGTTTTCTTTAAGATGTAGAATTTGCCCGATGTCCTGGTCTGCCTTCTGATCTTCTCTCATTTGCTTGGTAGTCCATTTATCATCGACGATCAGGCCCGTTCTTCTTACAGCTGGACTAGTGTTTTTCTCATGTATATCGATTCTTTGACAATGTTTGCAATCTTCTTTACATGGCCGTCTAGACAGAGCGTCAGCATTTTTATGTAGGTTTCCAGGTCGATGTTTAATTTGGAAATCGTATTGCTGCAATTTCTCAATCCATCTAGCAAGCTGTCCTTCAGGAGTTTTCATTTCTAAAAGCCATTTTAGAGCTGCGTGATCTGTTCTAATTAGAAACTTGCGTCCGTAGAGATACTTATGAAAATGGTCGACTGCTTTTACTATGGCAAGCAACTCTCTTCTGGTGACACAATAATTTCGTTCCGGCTTTGATAATGTTCTGCTGTCGTACTCCACGACATGTTCTTGTGAGTTTTGGATTTGTGGTGTTACTTGCATCTGTGTCCAAAATCAACATGCCTTTGTAATCAGGATAGGACAACACTGGGCTCGTACATAATGCTCCTTTCAATTTTCTAAATGCGGAATCGCATTCTTGGGTCCAATTGAATGTTGATTTTTCTTCTGTCAATCGATGAAGTGGAGCAGCTATTTTGGCGAATCCTTCCACAAATCTTCGATAATAAGAACATAATCCTAGAAAACTCCTTAGTTCATGTTTGTCGCGTGGTTTTGGCCAGTCCCTGACAGCATCTATTTTTCCTTCCATAACTTGTATGCCCTCTTCAGATACCACGTGACCCAAGAATTCCACTTTCTTTTGAAATAGGAAACACTTATTTGGATTGAGTTTCAAGTTGGCATTCCGGAAGCGGTCAAAAACTTCTTTTAGGTTATTGAGATGTTCTTGGAACGAATTTCCCATAATCATGACATCATCCAAATATACCAGGCAAGTTCTCCATGTAAGGCCTCGCAAAACAAGATGCATCAGTCGCTCAAACGTAGCTGGAGCATTACACAATCCGAAAGGCATTACATTAAACTGGTATAGTCCGCTACCGGTACTG